CTGAGCCGAAACCAAGAGTCAGATGCTTAACCGACTGAGCCACCAGGCACCCCTCTTGTCTTTTTGATAATAGCCATTCTAACTGGTGTGGGGTAATAATCTCATTGTGGTTTTGATTTGCATTTCCCTGATTAATGATTTTGAGTATCTTTTTGTGTACCTGTTGGCCATCTGTATGTCTTCTTTGGAAAAATGTCTATTCAGATCTGCGCATTGTTTAATCATATTTTTTATCTTTTTCTTTCTTTATTTTTTGCTATTTAGTTGTATGAGTTGCTATTGAAATTTTTTTATCATGTTGAATTGTGTCAAGTGCTTTTTCTGCATCTATTGAGATGATCTATGATTGTTATCCTTCATTTTGTTAATGAAGTGTGTATCACATTGATCTGCAGTTGTTGAACCATTCTCACATTCCTGCAGTAAATCCCATTTGGTCATGTTGTATGATCCTGTTAAGGTATTGTTGAACTTGGTTTGCTAACATTTTGCTGAGGATTTTTGCATCTTAGTTCATCAAAGGTATTGGCCTGTAATTATTTTTGTGTTGTTGGCATCCTCATCTGGTCTTGGTGTCAGGATAATGCTGGCTTCATGAAGTGTGTTTTGGAAGAGTTTTGTCCTTTTCTACTGTGGAATAGTTAGAGAAAGATCGGTATTAATTATTCTTTGGATGTTTGGTAGAATTCATCAATGAAGCTGTCTGGTCCTGAACTTTTGTTTGTTGGAAAGTTTTTATTACTGATTCAATCTCCTAGTAATCATTTTGTTCAGATTTTCTGCTAGTAATCATTCTTTTCAGATTTCCTATTTCATGAAGATTTAACATTGGTACATTGTATGTTTCTAGGAATTTATCCATTTCTTCTGTGTTGTCCTATTTATTGGCATATAAATGTTCATTGTAGTCCCTTACAGTTGTCTTCATGTAGAAAAGATGCTTGGTATGATTTCATTCTTCTTAAATTTGTTAAGACTTGTTTTGTGCCCTAACATAGGATCTATCTTGGAAAGTGTTCTGTGTGCATTTGAGAAGAATGTATATTCCGTTGCTTTTGGGTGGAATATTCTGCATATATCTGTTAAGTCCATCTGGTCTAACATGTCATTTAAGGCCAATATTTCCTTACTGATTTTCTGTATGGATGATCTATCCATTGATGTCAGTAAGGTATTAAAGTCCCCTACTATTATTGTATTGCTGCCAGGTCTGTTAATATTTATTTATTTAGATGTTTCTTTGTTGAGTGTATAAATATTTCCAAAATTATAGCCTCTTGTTGAATTGACCCCTGTGTCATTATCTTTCTCTCACAAGGGCCTATGTTTTAAGGTCTATTTTGTCTGATATAAGTACAGCTACTCTAGCTTTCTTTTGGTGTCCGTTTGCATGGAATATCTTTTCCCAGCCTTTCACTTTCAGTCTGTGTGTGTCCTTACATCTAAAGTGTATCTCTTGTAGGCAGCATATAGACGGTCTTGCTTTTTACCCAGATACTGTATGTCTTTTGACTGGGGAATTTAATCTGTTTACATTTAAA